GAGAAAGCCCAACGCTTGGAGAAATAGCATGAACGGTGGAGCTGCTTTTCTTGTAAATGTTAATAAAAGCAGGCCTCGAAGGGGAAGTTGCTCACTGGGAACAATTATGCCGTGGTGTTTGATTCCACAAAAAGGCACAGAAGCACTTGCAAGCTGAAAAGGCCAGATCAACAATGTGGAACAACAAAGGCTACGTTACTTGCTCAATGTCTTAGAAGTGCACAAGAGAGTGGAGTGACAAATGCTAATACTTGCGTTTCAAGGCATGACTGGCAAGGCCATCGCTTCCTTACTCCCAGCATGTTCTACCGTCTTACAGCTTTCTGTAGCTGAAGTAAATGCTCTTCTCCAAAAGCACTAATAGAAGACAACCGAAAACAAGTTTCTTGATATTACTGTCACCCACTTCCCAAAGATTCGATAAAAACTAAGCGTTCCCCAAGCATCTTCGCCTAAGAGCAAAGAGAGCCACTACGGATAATATCTTTAATAGCTTAAAACTATCTGGAAGCCCAAAAGTCGAAGCTGGAGCAGTACAAAGGAAGCAGAAGTTAGCTAGGCGCCGTTACCTGCGGTGAAGAAAGTTGCCGTGGGTTTAAGGAGGACGGGCAGGACAAGCCTCCTGGAAATCTTTTGGCTGGCCCAAAGTCAGTAACTTATTCTGTGGCTTTTTGGATTCATGCCCATATCCCTGGCAGCTTGCAATGCCTGAAGACCTGCCCCTCAGGCTTAGCTCGTGTTATCATCTTAAAGTGCTTGGCTCTGGGGTAGAGCAGAGGTCTACTCCTGCACACGTCCATTACTGAACACTAACGAAATAGCCTCACAGATGCTGACTTTTTGCACTACATGAAAACTTACTTTCCCTTTTACAACTGCTACAGTCCATTAGGACACAGCTAGGTCAACACACGATCCACCAATCTCCAGCTGAAGTAGGTCTTTTCATCCAGCACTATCCCAGCCTCAACATGCTCATGACGCAATGCACTTCCATAAAACTCAACGCCACTGTTGGCCAACATTAGAAAGGCCAACATTAGAAAAAGCAAGATGTCAGAAGGCCATCAGCGAGCTTTGTGAAAAATCAACAGCATATTCCAAAACCTTAAATATCTTTACAAAATGACGCTATGTTTTTGAAATGGTATGCAGAAAAATTCTCGTAACAACTAGCTATAAAACATTTAAGAAGATACAAAGGAAGAAAGAGCATCACATGAAATGGAGCGGACAGGGAGGAAACATTTAATTACTGCTGCCATAATGGAATGCACAATGAGCCAAAGCATCTTCAAGGTCTATTCATTCTTTCTACTTGTCCTTTGAACGTTTTTCTTTCTTTTTGTCATACCACCTGTGTTATCACAACTCCCTGTGATCCACGCCTTGCGGTTAAAAAGGTCGGAGTTAAAGAATGAAGTAGCACAGTACTCAAATATCCCTTCAGTAAACCTTCTCGGCAATTAGGAAACAACGATCATAAGTCGAATGCTTGCATAAGTACTACCCGTCTTAGGAAGAATTGCAGAATCAGCTACTAAGATAGATTTTTTTAAAATATCCTTTCTTAGCTTTTAAAGGAGAAAACTGTCCAGAAGGAAACTCTTAAGAGAAATTCCCCAAAGTCACCTTACCTTCCTTTAGGAAAGGATGAGTTTCCAAAATCCCGTTGTTCAGTCAACAAGTGACGGTTCTGGGATATCGATATGGGCCATTACTGCCCACAGCCCGACACATTCCTCCTCTTCACAGTATGAACTTCTCACAGAAGGGATCACACGTATCTCTTTTCCGATTAAAATCCTTAATTCTCTCTGTGACTTACTCATGTTACTGACAATTACTCCTGACAAATACACTTGTCCCGTTGACCTCACGTGCACTGAGCAACAAGATACATCCCGTACATAAATAGACTTTCAGTTCTCTAAGGTAACATCATGTCATTCAAAAGAGACTCTAGATAACCCCATCATGAACCACAGACACCTCAAAGCGCCTGGTCAACCCTACCAGGGTCAACGTGAAGCATTTGCCAGCATGGCAGCAGTTTTACAGCTGAAGGCGTCCCCCAGCTGTACAGCACTAGCAACACAATTTCAGTCCCTTGCTCACACCTACTGGGAGAAGATCCCCACTCACAGACCTCTACTTTTTTAGCAAACTCATTTTATCGCTGCTTTCTCTACAGAGACATTTTCCCCCCAGAGATTCAAGTGCAGCTGCTGGTCAGAAGCACTGTCAATTCAAACCAAACTCTTCTCAATTCAAACCTGCCCTCTTGGGTAAATCTGTCCAGCTGAGTGATGCATCTTTCCCAACTGTCCTTACGGTAGGAACAATAAAAATGATCAGATATCAAACACGTCCTCTGTAGTACTTCACCTGCATTTCTGTAGTTTTACCCAGTTTAAGAGGAAAGCAAAGCATTCAAGGGTGACTCAACAGTCCCTGGTGGTACTCCAGAACCTACAAAGTCTCTAGCAATTAAGTGATTTTACATACCTGGGCACAACACGTTCTGAGGATGGTTATGTTCTTACTATTGTCTGTAGAGATAGTCATTAAAAGAACCGAGATACTATGGTCATACAGAACTCAGTAATGTATAAAATAAGGATTGGGGTGAAACAGTGAGACATGTAGAGTTTGGCCTGTTCTCAGTGAGGACCCATACTGCTGAGGAGTAGTAACACCTCTTTTCTGCAAACAGGCTCTGTGGCAGTAAGACCTGCATGTGTGGTTCATGTTGATATTACTGATGACGTAGAATGACAGCACCTGGAAAAGTGCTTGATCCCCACCACAGCAGCCTCACACGCTCCTGTTTTCACGAGAGGACAAAAAGAAGTGTGGCCAGCAGGGCGAGGGAGGGGATTGTGCCCCTCTGCTCTGCTCTGGGGAGACCTCCCCTGGAGCCCTGCGTCCAGCTCTGGAGCCCTCAGCACCAGGAGGACATGGACCTGTTGGAGCGGGGCCAGAGGAGGGCTACTAAAATGCTCCGAGGGCTGGAGCCCCTCTGCTCTGGGGCCAGGCTGGGAGAGTTGGGGGTGTTCAGCCTGGAGAAGAGAAGGCTGCGGGCAGAGCTGAGTGCGGCCGGTCAGGGCTTCAAGGGGGCCCAGAGGAAAGGGGGGGACAAGCTTTTTAGTAGGGCCACCGGGGACAGGACAAGGGGGGATGGCTTTAAACTGAAGCAGGGCAGGTTTAGGCTGGGACTTAAGCAGAAATTCTTTCCAGTGAGGGTGGTGAAAGCCTGGCAGGGGTTGCCCAGAGAGGGGGTGGAGGCCCCATCCCTGGGAACATTCCAGGCCAGGTTGGCCGGGGCTGTGAGCAACCTGATGTGGTTCAAGGTGTCCCTGCTCCTGCAGGGGGGTTGGGCTGGGTGACCTCTGGGGGTCCCTTCCCACCCAAAACATCCTATGATTCTCTGAGGACACTAACCTTGGCCAGGTGCCAGCTGGCAAGTACCATACTGCTCTCCATCAGCTTTTTTATGGGCACTTTTTTTTTTCAATAACTCTTTGAAGTGTTTTAAAGAAATATGTAAACCCCATTTATAACGTAACAGACCCCAAATCTCATCTGCCTTTCATAGCAGTACTACCAAAGCTTTTTGCTGCATGCATCTTGACACTATCTGTAGACCTATGAATCAAGTATAATTAGCTTTTTTCTAAAAACAAACAGGTGCTTTTCAGTTTATTACTTCATGGCCTCCCACGCTAGAGAATCTGTCATAGGAAAAGTTAGAATTATTATGTGCTCAGGAATTATTCCACTATATTAACTACCAATATAAAGTGATCTCGTTGGAGACTGCATTATGGTACAAGCACTTCAGCATCTGCATGATGCGATGTATTCCAGGCCCTTAGAGAGGTAAATAATTGATAGGAAATGACTCATTTTTCATCTTTGTAGCTTTTTAATGTACATCAGAGTATTCCTAGGGCACCACAGTGCTCAAGGAGGGAAGTTTTGTTCAGGCAACTCACTAATCAGCACTATGGCAAAAAAAAAACGTATCACACACTGGATATTTCGATGGGTGCTTAGCAACATGGGCAAAGCTAGCTAGATTATGATGATGGTATTTTCCAGAATTACTATGTAGGTTAACAAGGCCAGGGTGGACGGGGCTGTGAGCAACCTGATGTGGTTAAAGGTGTCCCTGCTCCTGCAGGGGGGTTGGGCTGGGTGACCTCTGGGGGTCCCTCCCCACCCAAAACATTCTGTGATTCTATGAAAGCAGGAAACTGAATATTAGGTACGTATGCCAAATGAGGAAATTACTTGCAAAGCTCTTTGATGAGGGTAAGTCCACTGTCAATTAAGAGACAGCACGAGTGCCAGGATACAACATACAGCAAAAGCAGGTCCTCTGGTCTGGGGCAATACTGAGGTTCTAGAAGGCACCGAAAAACTTGCAGATAATTGCAAAAAAAAAAAAAGAAAATTATAAGATTTTCTTTCCCTGCTTTCCTGTTGCCTTTCTCCTTTGATGTTCTAATTTCTGGTTAGTATGTAGTAAGTATTTGAAAGACAAAAAGAAAAAAACCAAAAAACCAGAAAAAGCACAAAATAACGAAGAACCACCCAAAAAACCACCAACAGAAAAAGTAAAGAAAAATAGAAAGGTAAAAGAAGAGGTGAGAGAAGAGTGAAGGCCACGTGAGAGAGAAACAGAAGGAAGTGACTGATCAGATTTCCTTTGTGGTAGTTTTAAGAAGAGAAAAAAAAATGGTGTTGTATAAAGGATCAACCAGACTACCTGCACTTCTGATCAACCTGCCCTTCAGAGAGACTACAGAAAAAAATCAGGTCGTTAGCAATTCACTCTGTGCTCTGCAGGAAACCTAATTACGTACGCCGCTCCAAAGCAAGCTCTCTCTCCACCCACCATAACCAACGCGCGCTGCACCTCCTCCTTGCACGCAGCAGTTTTTCCAGCAGTTGGTGCGTGCGGCATGAGGCACACTGCACCCACAGTGCCGTCCCGCGGCCCTTGGCAACGCGTGTAGATCACCTCCGCTCATCCCCATCTTCTTGCTTCAAGACGAATAATTTAACTCCTATAAAGTTCATAAAAATCTAATTGTGGGGGGGGGAAAGGGCACCCGCATCGCCAAAACATTGGCTTCTTGCATGATAATTAGCGACCATGCATTGAAGTCCCATCTTGTTTACATCCTAACACACAACCTTGCCAATTAACTTGATCCAACAGAGCTTTTTCATTACTGTTTTCTCAGGACTCTCGCTCCTGTTTCTGTTTCCATTTCTCTCCCATTTCCATTTTTTTCCTGAGCCTTCCCGGCTGCTGCGCGGCACGTCACAGGCCACCGAAGAGCCCCCGATCTCAAGGCAACAGGAGGAATATTGTCTCCGTATTGCCGCTGCCACCCCAAGGCTTTGAACTGCTAAGGGTCTAACACACCACCATAACATCACTCTTGCCCAAGAGCTACTCGGCTCTCATCCACGTATTTACAGCCCAGCACGTATTCCCCCGCGCATGCATTTCCATCTGCTCTTTGCTGGGTGTTTCTGAGCAGAACGGATGCAGAAGAGTCAAAGCTCTCTGACAAGTCCTCAGACCCTCCTGCCCGGTCCTATGGACAAGTTACAGCTACACTCTCCTCCTCCAGCCCTTTCTGAGCTGCCCCGGCAAGAAGGATGAGAATGTTCCTACAGGTGAGGACAAATGGTTCTTGTTACTCTGCCCTTCTCCATCCAGGTGAGTAAAACGCCTTATCCCTAAAGCCCCTGGAGAACTTCAGCAGTCTCCCACGGATACACACAGGGCAGTAATAGATGGAGCAGGGGGTGAACACCAAAAAGCCCTGAACTCACTGCTGTGTGGTTTTTTCCATCACTGGCACCCGACACTTGGCTCCTTCACGTATCTATTCCGAGCCTTACATCAGGAATCGAACACAAACGCGCATGGATGTCAAGAATTGCAGTAGCTCCCTATGTCACTTCTCCTTCAACACAGCAGCTATGTAATTCTTCACTAGAAATTGGAATCAATTAAGGGACAGCAGAGCGCGAGCTATTTTCGTGTTTTCTTGAAGTTAGAGGGCTTAGTCCCTCTGAGCAGAAATGAAGAATTAATACAACTGGAATTAAACCTCTCAGACTATTAGACAAATTAAATTCCTCTCTCTGCTGTCAGCTTCTCTGGCCCTTTCATCAGGTCCTGCCAAACGCAGCAGCACACCTTGCATGCCTGATGCAAAGTCCTCGCTCTCAGAAGGACCCTGAAGCAGTGGAGAGCAGTGGGAAACTGGATGGGAAGGCTGGTTAGGACTAGCTCACGGTATTTCTAGGACTTCTGTAGTCTACCATGAGGTCTAATCGTGTGTTTTCAACCCAAACGAGAAATTATACATTTGTCAGCTTTATGAATCAGAGCTACCACAGATAGTCTACTTCGTTCCCACAATACATCTTTCTTCTAAATAAGAAACTGTTCATCAGTCTGCCTCTAAAAATCAGATCTACTTCTCCCTGTGTTGAAGAAAGAAGACGGATTGCTCATAACGGTGTCTTGTATCCTATTACAAAAGCCCCAGGAGATGCGAAATGAACAGAGCTATAAGTAACCAAAGAACGTGGGGAGTTCAGGTTCCTTAGGTTCACTAAGTTGAAAAGAATTGTAGGGAGATTTCATGATTTATGAAATGCTACGAGTGCAAGGCAAAAGAAGAAAGTTAAGCCATGAAATGAAGACACATCTAGTTCGGATAAATTTAATTTAATTTTCCTGTCTTCTAATGATCGGGAATACCCAAGGAGTCTTTGATACAGATCACATGTTCCTCCATCTAAGAAAAAAAGATGGGAAGGAAACCAAAACAGAAATAGATTAAATCCAAACACTCTGGGGTTAAGCACTCAGTGACAAGAGACCACCTGCCCCATACGGCATGCCCAGTTCAACCAGTGGGACCAGTTACAAGCACAGAGCAAGGCTGGCGCTCACATCTCCTGATGCCTTTACTCACCCACCTATGCAGCATGAATCCAATCAAAAAGGTGAACTCCTGGCCCTTCAAAAGCCAGAAGTAAAACCACTCATTTTAGCAATTATTCCAACATTTGTAGTGTGTTCAGAAATTATGAGATTAGGATTCTCTTGAGATTTTCTTTTCTTTTTTTGCTATAGCTTGTCCTTTGTCCTACCATTTTGCTTGCCGTTGAAAACAAGCTATTGCCTACGCCTGCTCCTGCAAGGTGAAAAGCACGTTTGAATCCCATCTGTGCATGAAACGGCGCACGGCGGAGGGGGTCCGTGCCGAGGCAAGGGTCCCTCTGCCCAGGGGAAGGCCCGAGCAGGACCTCACCGGTCAAAATAAGGCTGCGTTTCAAGGGAGCAACAATTAAGAGCAAAAAAAAAAAAAAGGAAACAGAATCAAAGCTGCCCCTCAAGAATCTGGCCTGAGCAAGCTACATATATATAGTACGGAATGGAAAAAAATGGGTGGCTTTCAAGCCTGACTAAAAATAGTTTCTTCAAATTTCTTTATAATGCCCTTAAAGATAGGGAGTGACAGCGGCAATGAGAAATCAGGCTGCCCGTGCTCAAACCACAGAGCGGATGAGGTTGGAAAGGACCCGTGGAGATCACTTAGTCCAAATCACAGCATCACAGGAATATTTTCTTCTACGTCTCAGGTGAACACGTATATTCTCTCTCCCTTTGTGGCAGGGTGACCTGGGCTGGATGCCAGGTACTCCCCAAAGCCGCTCGATCACCCCCCTCCTCAGCTGGGCAGGGGAGAGAAAATATAGCGAAGGGCTCATGGGTTGAGATCGTTCACCAATTACTGTCATAGGCAACACAGACTTGACTTTGGTGATGAGTTAAAGTGATTTCCCCACCAAATCAGAGTAGGATAATGAGAAATAAAACCAAATCTTAGAAAAACTACATTCCCCCCACCCCTCCCTTCTTCCTGGGCTCAACTTCACTCCTGATTTTCTCCACCTCCTCCCCACCTGAGGCAAAAGGGGACGGGGAATGGGGGTTGGGGTCAGTTCATCACACACTGTCTCTGCCGCTCT